CGACCCACACTTTGGGAAACACTGGTGTAGACCAACAGCACTTAGGCCACATATGTGATCCATTGTACATCCTCCCAAGGAATTGTCCTCCTAGGTCATCGTCGATCCTGTCCTTTCCAGGAAGGTGGACAGGTCACTAGGAAACATCTCCTTTATATAGGCAGGTGTAGGCCAAGACTCACCGAACACACACTCTCTTATTGACGATAACTCATGGCTAGTTCCGCAATTGATGAAGTCATCAGGCTGTAGATGCCACTGGGTCCTAAAATTCTTAGTCCAGCCGCTTCCTTGGCTAATTAATCGACGACTCCTGTCGTCCACCTCAGGATAATGTTATTATCTACCGAGGCTAAATCTTGGTGGCACTCTAGTACTAGGCCTGAGGTAACAAGTTGTCTGTTCTAGACTAATAGGGCTTGTCTGCTATCAGTGTAGACTGTTTTTTTGCCAGAAATTCCTTTCCTGGTTATTTCTTTTATGGCAATTGAGATTCCAGCCAGATCTGTTTTAACCACGCTGGTATTTTTTCCCATTCCCCACTAAATCCTTAGGCTTAGAGTGATCTGGAGTACACTCCACATCCTGAGCCGTCAGTATATATGCGTATTGCATTTGCAGCATCTGACTCTGTTTTCTGTTTCATTTGTATTTTGTAGGGTTTATTAAACACAACCCTGGGTACTATTGCATCACTGGATGCCTGCAGCAGAGGTTGCCTAGTGAGCGCTTCTCACCATAGGATCAGCCTTAATTGACCCATTTCTACTTCGAGGTTTATATACCAGCCGTGTGCAATCGTAACATGGCCATTAACGCAACTTCCTTAACGTACAGGTCCAGAGGGGACAGACCAGTAATTAATTCCATTGCCGCGGTTAGCGTTATTCTCATGGCTCCTGTAATGTTCAAACAAGTCAATCGTTGTATTTGATATGATTTTTGGATGGCCGTTGCTTGTAGAACTTTCGGGGAGGATCAATCCCCCCTGATCCCCCCTGGCTACAGCCTTGATCACAAGTACCAACATAGTTGGTACCATAATTTTTTGTTCTGGTGTTGGGAAAGTGTTTTCAAAAGATTCATTTTACGCCAGACGTTTCAGTACGAACTATCAAAGAAGCTCATTTGCCCTTCTGGTAGCAAGTTGCTGTGGCCGTCGGCCGTAGTCTACTTTCACAACGATTTTGGGCAGTCTTGCAATGCACGTAATGACTGTACATTTGAGCACTGTTGTGATATGTGAAATAGATTCCACAGGTTGCACAAATTCTGTTCTTGAGGTCGGATTTTACAGATCAACAGAAAACGTCACAGATTTCAATGCACTCCTCGAGCGGAAATAGGAAATAGGAGTCATCTGCGCATTGAACCACTTGCAAGGATTGTTGCGATTTACGGACGTGAGCGCTATACTACGCCAGATTAGGTCCGGCTGGATCCTGCAAGCTATCTTGAAGCTTTCTATACTCCGCAGAAACATCGTAGTTGATAATCTCATTTCCCCCAGACCTTAGTGTCTCCCCAGTGTGCTGAAAATTATGATTTTCCAAATCATCATCAATAAAAACTCCTTTGTTATCGAGCTGACGACCAAAATGTTCATGCAGCAGGATTGACGCCTGACAGTCTTTTGCTGAGGGGGGCCCATGCGTCGCTCAACTCGGTTGTAAACACTCCATCCAATATTAACATTGAAAGTAATGAAGTTCAATCGACACGCATCAAAAATCTATTGAATATGTATGGAATAAATCAAAGTATTGAAGAATGTACTAGAATTACTTATACTAGTGCAAGCTTATTAAATATTCCGGTTGGTGGTTATATATATTCCTACTTTCATATATAACTGAATTTTTGTAAGAGAGTTGTTTTTGGTATTGGCATGCTGAGATTGTTGCTTCGGGTGGTTACGTAAGTGTGAGTCAAAGTAATGCTTGAAGACTATTTGTTATGAATCAGACAGTTTCCAAAATGAAAATACTAGTTATGGAAGGAATTTTTTCAGATACAAACAACGGTCTACAATGGTTCCTCGCCTTTGCCCTACACGAGTACCTCATGGCCCTCTTTTGTTGGACCAAAACAGATTGTGATAAATTCTAGTTACAGAAACCCCAGAAAGCTATGCCATACCTAATATGATATTTGATGGGAAAAATAAGTGTTCCTAGCAATGACTGGACTAGGTTCGTTTGACATCACTCTAATTGCGTAGCAGCCTAATGCTAATCTTTTTATTAGTGGCTTTCACCTTGAACTCTCGTATAACATCACTTAAATGTTCTATAATTTTCTTTAATTTTTTTGCCTTTTTCCAAATTTCGTTGACATTTTTTCAAGCACAGTTGCGGGGGCAAGTAAGCATAAAAGCCTTTATGGCCATGAACAGGTGGTGATGCAAATCTCCCTCTTTTGAGAACATAACAGTATGAACTCATAACACTGACAACTTTAACAAAATTAAAATAACATGCAATACAGTCGGGGAATTCCCCGTAAAATGTGAACGAAAAGCTTGTACGTTGGGAGATCAAAATAAAAATGACTTAGAACACAGTCGAGTGTCTCCCGTAAAACAAAACGAAAAGGGTAGTCAGCATGATAGACTTTAATTTCTAGTCCTATATTTGAATTAAAAAAAACAAATTTACGTTACACGTTGTTCGAACCCCGTCCCAAATTACGTTAGATAATACTTGAACGACCCCTAACTACCCAGGCAATTGCCCCATTGTTTCCAATCCATTTTGTTGGGAATATTGTATTTCACAGCAGACGTTGAGTGTTACTTCATCTATAAGAGCTTTTCTTGTCTGACCTGCCGATAAATAGTTCTATAATCGCAACAGGCGATTTCAATATCAATTACAATGACTGATTCTCTGGTTACTGAGTCACTGAAGAACTTACTTTTATCATTTGTTTCAAGTATGCACGTTGATACGGAAACTCGCATTTCTCGATTTTCTGCATCCTGCATCGACTATGTCTGTAGCAATATTGACAAGCAAAATGTTTCATGCACAGTTATTCCATCCGGATTATCTGATCATAAACATACATAAGTATGGTAAATTATTCAGTCGTTCAAACTATGATGGGTTCTATCAAAACTGCCTTGAAATAGACTGGGTGAGCATACTCTCTGAATGTGACCTCTTTGTATCATTCCACAACGCATTGTCCGATGTGTTTAATAAATCGCTTCCAGAACAAATAATTAAAAATAAATGTAAAAAGCCATGGGCTTGGGTGACGAAAGGACTGAAAACATCCTCTAGAAACCTGCGCTCACTGCATTATATCAGAAGATTCATAAATGAAACATTTTTCTGGAACTATTTCAATAATTACAAAAAAGTCTATCGATCCACTAGCTAAGAGGATATATTACGGCAACAGAATAGGGGAATCGAAGAATAAAATTAAAGAAACTTGGTCAATTATTAGTGATACCTATAAGAGGTAAAACAAAAAAGAAAAACTCTGAAATCTCACTTAATCCTAATATAATAAATGAGTTCTACTGTTCTATTGGTTAACAATTGAGTAACACAATTCATGCTCCATGTGATCCATTGATCAACTTAGAAAATATAAAAATTCATGACAGTCTTATTTTATATGACACTGACCTTAATGAATTGTTCAAAATACTTCATGACATTAAAAACAAAAACACGGCCGGATATGATGATATATCCGTTAAGATTCTTTTGAATTTACCACTCAATGCTCTGAAACTTTGGTCGCCCTTCTAGCAGCGATTTCAAACGATACGGAATCGTACGAAGCATGCGCATACGAATATAGGCGTTCTAGCAAAGCAAATCCAGGATTCGAACTAATAGTCGCATGTTCTAGCGAAGACGAAATCCAGTTTGCAAACCGTATGAGAATTGTCGAAGTAGTCTAGAGGAATTCGTAAGGATTTTCAGTTTGTGACATGCGCAAATATTCGGAGTGATCGAGTGATCCGATATCACGTTTGTTATGATTTTGGAATATGGATTTGTTGGTTATGTTATGTACTAAAGAAATGAGAAACCAAAATAAATTTTAGAGTTTTTATAAGACAAATTTCAAAACTGTCATCAGTGTTGAAATTGTATTAAATCTTTATAACTAAATTATAATAACAGATCAAAGAAAAAATAATAATATTTTCTCTACGTATTATTCAACGAATGTTACGCTCATGAATGTTAACCTAACTGCGCTCAGCTGATGGGCCAATATTCATATCTCTTTCTATCTCACGGCAAGTTCGATCTGCCGTTCTTTTTTCCGCTCCACAAACATATCTGTGTACGCAACGTTGCCATTTATAAATTTTAGTTTTGTTTAAAAAAATCTGTTTTTCCGTTAATCAGCTGTCGTTGCAGAATATAAATAATACTTTGTATATTCATTCAATAAACATTGATGCTGTTGAATACATGTCATTGGCAGGAAGTTTCTTTATTGAATAAGACACGTCCGTTATTCTATGACCATTTAGCTGCGTGTGTATGAGTGTATGATTTAAATAGAAGATGATAAAATATATTCACTGTAAATCCGTAAATTGCAACCTGACAACAGTGTTACCGTTTTAATGCAATATTTCTGAGAATTCAGTGCCTACTATTATGGAATTCTAGTATAGTTGAAAATAATACTAGTTCTTAAATTCATCGATGAGTCTACCGATATGGATCCAACGAATTCACCTATTGGTCCGTTTAAAACGTTAGCGCGTTTCTATTGGTTGAAGCAATAAATCAGAAATGTTCTGTTTAAATTAAGAACTCTTCTAAACAAATACGTGACGTTTCGGAGGAATACCGATTTTTCCTTACCTCAGGCACCGTATAGAAGGTGTTCACTTTTATACGGTGCCTCAGGTATCCTCTTGTCCAAATTCCACTCTATTTCGTAATCGTAACGCCTCCTACATAGGTACGCACCGTAGGCCAATACAACCTGTCACGTCTATACTATGTCACAGTATTCCGAAACTTATTTATGATTAATAAAAATGAATATTAATAACTACCACTGCACCACTTACTACTAAAGTTTGAATTAGTGTAATTTGTTTCAAACAAATGTTTCGATTATTCATTCATTATATTACGTTCCTTTTCTTTGTCATTATCTATTCTGTTGAAAACACATTTCTAGAAATACGCCTAAAACTAATCTAAAATATGAGTATATGAAGATAGCACATACGTTTTGTTTACTATTCAGAAAGCTAATTTACTAATCTCGAAATTTATATATTTTATCATAAAATTTATCTTCTTGCATGATTCTATTGTCTGGGTGTGTTCGTATTCATACCAGTGAAGTTGGGTGATGTGATGTGCTCAGCTGAGATAAAATAGATAACCTAAAACTTATGATTTTCTATAAAGAATTGAAAGGATGAATATGGCAAAAATTTGGAAAATATTGACGAGAAAAAAAGTGATTGAGCATATTACTGCTGAAGAATCAAAGTTATCAAGAATTTTGAACACATTTGACCTGACTGCACTTGGAGTTGGAAGTACCTTGGGGGTAGGTGTATATGTATTAGCGGGACATGTTGCCAAAGATACAGCTGGACCATCTGTCGTTCTATCGTTTTTTATAGCAGCCCTAGCTTCAATTTTTGCAGGTAAAAACATTTGGTTTATATATATATATTTCAACTTCTTAGCTGCAAACTTATAACACAAAAGAAAAACATATTTGAGGGAATAAGTACCCTGAATAGAATAATAGATTACATTTATACACCGATGTAACAAACAATGTACATCTCAAAGTGCAGATTGTATATTAACTATACATTACATGAATTACACCTTTGAAACATTTGATTACAAATATATTATCAACATTTAATAATAAATTACATTTAAATTTTTTCAACTATGGAATGCAGTTGTAGTAATAAGGGAATTTTTTGTAAGTTGATGTTTTTAATTTCACCTTGTTTCAATTTCTTGTTAATTAATTGTTGACTTTTAACAAATGTTAAACCATTGCAGAGTCTATAAATCTCTTAACATTAATATTTGTTTTTTTTTTGAAAATAATGCGACAAATTTCACCATAATTAATGTTGAACAGGAGACTAATCATTTTTTCTTCGAGTATGAAAACCCTATGTGAATCAGCTGCTTGATCAAACATTATCAGCGCATCTTAGATGATGCGCTTAGGGATAAGTTGGTCTGTGGTCTCAAATCAGAAAACGTCAAGAAAAAATTATCATCTGAGGATAATTTGACATTCAGTTGAGCCTGTCAGATAGCTCAAAGTATGGAACTTGCTGAAAACAAAGCCAAAATCATGGGAACTGATTTGGTGAATAAAGTTGAAAGTCAAAGTCATTTTAGGTCGAGATTCAAACAGTAGTGGTTCATTGCAGTAAATGAATATGAAGTGTAAATGATGTTTGCAATTACATATGAATAATTCAAAATGTCCTGCAATGCAATGGAAATGTTTTTCTTGCAATACCATGGGACATACTTCAAAATCCCCCATGTGCAAGAATCGTGTCCATTTTGTAGAGGAATTCGAGGGTGATTTTGATGAAAATTTTTTGCCAAAAAAATTATCCTATCAAATTTGTCTATTTCTAGTCATGTGTGTCGAAATAACCAATGAAACCATCATTACACTGATAACTACCCATGGATAGTTTTCACGGGTAGTTATCACTTATGTCATGACATTGCTAAGCAACCAACACAATAAAGTTGTTTGACATTTCAGTAATTCAATTTATTTCGAAAATGTCACTTAATCAACGGATGGACGAAATCTTCTGCTGAAGCAATTGGCTTGGATACGAAACAGAGGAAAATAACCAATCACTCTAATAGAGCAACTGCAGTCAGTCAACTAGCTAAGAGTGGAGTATTATACGAATTGTTCTTTTAATAACTGTGTGTTCAATAAATAATTTTGTTCGAATTGCAAAAAATTTTCTCACCGAATATCCCTCGAACATTGATAAATAACTCATAATTTTATCACAACTTCCTCAAGCACGTTATTTTAGGTAACATCCCTCCGCCTTCGGCGTCGGGATGTTACCAAATAACGTGCTTTCGAAAACTGTGATAAAATTATTTCGTTAGTTATCAAAGTCCTTGGGATATTATAGCTGATAAAAACCTAGAGACAAAGTAAGAAGACTCGGATAACGCAGAAGAAAAAGTATTTTATTCCATAATCAAAGGCATTAAAGAAGTTCATCAGTCAAGTAATGATAAAACTAGTCCGGTCATGATTAAATTTTCAGTTGCAAAAAAAATTATTGAATTTTTATTAGATACAGGTTCTGATAGTTCTATTGTTTCTATGGATATGTTCAAAAAGTTCTTTCCTACAGTTGAATTAGTTGAAGACAATGTGAAACTTGAAATATTATTTGATCAAGTGAATGATTTGGTTTTCAGAGCTACCGTTGATGTTAAATGTGTGAAAAATGGATGCAGTAAGAGTCCAGAGTTGAAAGTGACTGATTTTGAGTCTGGTGTCTCTTTGTTAGGAAGATCATGGTTGAATGTTCTGCTGCCTAATCGGAAAGAACAGTTTGAATGTTTTAATACATAGATGGTTAATAATAATGTTTGTAGCAAAGAAGTGGAAAAATTGGTTAAGGCTTTCGAGGCAGAGATTTTCAGTGTTATTATTATCATTCGGGTTTGAAGGCCGTCGTAGTTTGGAACTGCATCCTAACGTTGGTGGAAGTGGAAGGTTTTATAAAGATATTGATTCTTAGCGAATGTAAACGTGAGAGATAACATGACAACATAGCGAATACTGTATGCCTTGAAAGGTTGAGTACGAGAGGAAATCGAAAATTTAGTCAAAGAAATAATTTTACAACTAGTTGAAATGTCTGAATGGACTAGTCCTATAGTGGTGGTTCCTAAACTTAATGGAAAAATCAGGATTTGTGGAGATTTTAAGTCTACCATCAATCCAGTCATTGAAAACCGGTATTATCCTTTTCCTACAGCTGAGGAAATATTCGCTTCATTGCCTGGGGAAAAATTTTTCTCAGTTGTGGATTTGAAAAATGTCTATTTTCAAATTGAGGTTAGTGATGAAAGCAAAAGTTTATTAACGATAAATACTTCTTTTGGTTTATTCTCATATACCAAGACTTGCATTTGGTGTTAAATCTGCACCGCATGTATTTCAATCGGTAATAGAATAAATTCTGAAAATTATATCTCGGGTGCAATTGTTATTTAGATGATTGTCTTATAACCGCCGAAAATCATCAGGAAATGGAGAATAGATTGTGTTCAATAGGTTCATAAAATAAAATGTTCATATTAATTCAGATAAAAGTAATTTGTTTCTGAAATAGGTCACATAATTTTAGAAAATAGTACTGAACCTACTGATTCAAAAATTAAATCTATTTTGGAAGCTCCTAAACTAGAAAATATTCAACAGTTACAATCATATTTAGGATTGTTACCAGAGAATTTCATAGCTCTTTATAAACTACTGCAGAAAGGCGTTTCATGGTATTGGAATCAGGATACTAATACATGCTTCGAAACTAGTAAGAAATTCTTAATGGGCTCGAACATTTTAATGGCTTTCAATCCTATACATATATCCAATTACATTAACTTGTGATGTGTCACCATATGGTGTAACACCTGATAGGAGTGAAAGGCCGATATTGTATATTTCTGCTATACTTTCATCAGCAGAAAAAAATTATAGACAATTAGAAAAAGAAGCACTTAGTATAATTTATGGTGTTGAAAACTTTCATAATCATTTATATGGCAGAAAATTCACATTAATCAATGATCATAAACCTTTATAGTATTTACTCTCACCATCCAAACCATTATCCCCTTTGGCTGCTGGCAGAGTACAACGCTGGGTAGTTACACTTTCGGGCTATGATTATGATATCAAACATAAGAACGGTAAAAAATTGCCACATGTAGATGCACTTTCTAGGCTGAGAGTGGAGAAACTATCAAATATTTTTTGATGGTAAAAGTGTTGCAAATGTATGAAGCCTCTTTTCCGGATTTTCTGGCCGTGGTTTGCAAGTTTTATGCCTGACGTTTCGTCTACTGCTGCGGTAAATATTTTTAAAGGCGATGTGGTAATGGTCGCAATGCCCGAGCTGGTTCTTGTTCCTGTTGTATCCAACGCATCAACTATTATTTCCGTACTGGGCGCTCTATTTATATCGTTCCTTATTGTATTACCTGTTCGTGTACCTCTAAGGACAGCCAGCTGCTAGAGGTTCTCTAGGGTCCTTCGCTGACCTGAGACTTGGCCTGATGATTTTTTCTGCCTAAATATTGGTTTCACGTCGTGTTTCACTAAGAGTCTGTCAATCCGGTCTCTGACATTTTTGACATTGGGAAGGAAAGCTCTTCCCCTGACTGTCCTAGCTGGGGTTACTTTGGTATGAATGCATTTTTCAGGTGATTTAGCCGAGAAACCATATTGCTGGCTACATTATATTGACATGTTCGTGATATGGCGAGATGGGGAAGACACACTTACAGATTTTCTAATACACCTTAACTCGCTCAACCCAAAAATCCAATTCACAATCGAACGAGAAGTCCAACGGACTCTAGCCTTCTTGGATGTTCTTGTGAATAGACGTGAAGACGGTACACTTGGCCACCGAGTGTTCAGAAAACCAACGCACACAGACAGATACCTGAACAAAAACTCGAATCACCAGACACAACAAAAGAGAGGGGTAATTAAAACGTTGGTTGAGAGAGAACGACGAATCTGTGAACCTGAGGCCTGCCTGAAAAACTAAATTACCTGAAAAATGCATTCAAAATTAATGGGTACAGCGAAAGATAATCCAAGTGGGCCATACGACTCAGGAGAGAGAACACCAAAGCAACCCCAGCTAGGCCAGTCAAGGGAAAAGTTTTCCTTCCCTATGCCAAAAATGTCGCAGACCGGATTGGTAGAATCTTAGTGAAACACGACGTGAAGCCAATATTAGGCCAACAAAAACCATCAGGCAAAGTCTCATTTCAGCGAAGGACCCTAGAGAACTTCTAGCAACGCCAGAGGTATACCGGATTCAGTGTAGCTGCGAGTCGGTCTACATCGAAACCACGACCGCCAAGTCGGCTATGACCGAACATTTTCTCAACAAAGAAGGTACCCACATTATCTCATTCGAAGACACAGTATTACTCGACAGTACCCAAAATTATTACCCAAGAATATATAGAGAGGCAATAGAGATTCAAAAAATTAGTATATCATTTTCATTTGGTAATGACTCTTGAATTATGCTAATTGGAGTAGATAGGTATGTATAGACACGCCGGAAGAAGCTATTGTATAGCAAAACACGTGTTGCATTTTTGTAAAACTGATTTGTGAAAATCTCACAAAGTGTTCCAAGTATTTCATAAATTTACCAACCTTGAACAAGCCTCGGGTATGACTTTATGTGAAGACTAGACTAGCAAAATATGCTTTGTTCAGTGAGAATTACATCTGAGATATGAGTTAATTTATGTACCGAGAAACTTGACATTTTTCCCAGAATTTTGATTAATATCAAGACGTGACAGAATCAAGACGGCAATTTTTGGATGAAAATTACCATAATCGCTGGATTGGGAGAGC